TGATATATCAGGTGGATCTCGTGTGATATACCTAGAGCCTCAGATGTGAGAAAAATAATAGGTTTCATTTATTCTAAAAAAAAGTCCGCTGCTTCTCTAAATGTATCCATATCTCATCTGCGCATTGCAGGTTGGATATAAGTAAAGTCATCGCTGTTATATCTTGCACTGCTTGTAGTAATATGTCAGCATACACAGCGACAGTGGAGCTGCCAAAGCGTTAGGAAGTCAGTCAGTGACAACAGTTGTTAAATCTACTGGATGATCTTGTCTCACTGACGTCATGGGTGTACCTTGGTGGTTGGTCCTGTCTGTCATAGGTGAGTTTATGTTGATGTCTGCCAAGTTACTCACTTCGGTATCTGTGTGGTTAACACACAAAATCATACTTCTTTCGCTAATTTAGTCGTATATGAATCAGAATGAACTGTCTATTAGTTGGTCTAATTTGAAATGGATACAAATATCTTGTCCTCTTGGCGAAATGTTGACCTTTAACCCATCCAGGGCCTTTGGGTCTAGAGAAATATGCTCGAATTGCCGTTGGTACGTATGTAGTTGTACCCCACAAGGACATCACACAAGCGATAAACACCCGGTGACACCAAGTGCCACCATGCGGATGAGGATCAACCGTGGAGAGGTCCCAGTAATCTGGTAATCTGGTAATCCTAGTTTCAGCTTCATAGCAAACGGGTCACCCCACATATGCTCTGCTCCTGTGCCAACGAAAAAACAAACGCAGCTCACAGTGTCACGCCATGCACTCAACTCAGAAGCTGGGCGACGAAACTACATCCCTCCAGTCTACAAATGGAGCAAAAATGCAACGGCCACCGTCTGGAAAAATATTTGCCACGGCTTAAAAAAAAAAAAAAGGTGGCCGTACCTAGCGTCCATTTTGACCGGAAGAATTATATGAGGGTTAATAAACGGTCACCCCAGCAGTACCCTCATTATTAGCTGGGGAAGGGACTTCGGACATTATATCCACCAGCAGGCGTCGCCCCTACAACGACCTGCCTGCCATCGTTAACGACTGTTCACCCAACAGCCATGCAGTTCTTTGGCACGAAGGAGACACCTTGAACTTGGGTTTCGTACTGCCGACTCCCTACTAAGATGTTATTTTATGTTCTGTTATCACAATTAATGTCACTGCACATTGGGCATACCCATGCGTGCTCAGTTCTCCGAAGCAGCAGCCACTCTAAAGTACTTCTACTAATTGTCCCCATGAGAAGCTGGTTATATTGTCTCCTTTCTCGGCCTCGAAGACGGCAAAGACGTGCATCACCATGCTTAACTCCCATGTCACGCAATCGTGTTAGTGTCAGGGATTCCTCATTCTCCACTAGCCCGGTTCGTACAGCGTTGACCATGTCTGCTCTGTCCATACTTTTTCCTGCAATCATTAGTGCAGTGCTTGCCAGTTGGTCTGCTCGCTCATTTCCCTTCACGCCCGCATGACCCGGTGTGTAGATCCAGGTTACGGAGGTTAAGTGCGATTTCCTGATGCTTTTTATCTATTCAGAGCGCATACTGTCTGTTGCTACCTTCTGAAGCATATTCATTGAGTCTGAGACAATTACTGCTTGTGTGGCGGTTTGCTCGGATACCCATGCTAAAGCTCTAGAAGCAGCGGCTATTTCCATTGTCATGCTTGACGTGGTTGTCTGGTAAGCGCCGCTGTCCTCATGTATTGTTTTCCCCTTTCTTTGCGCTGTGTATGCCCATGCTGACCTTGATCCGCGCTTCACGGATCCATCTGTGTAGATGATGGTATCTTCTGGGTCTGAATGCTGATCTATCAGTTCCCTTACTTCTGTGTCTACCGCCGCAGGAATTTGATCCCTGCAGTACCTTCCGAGTGTGATGACAACCTTAGAGATGCCATGCATGTCTACTGGTGTATTCGTCCATTCTTTTCCGTGGCTGATCACGTCTAGGTCACATACCTGCTGGATTAAGTCCTCAGCCTTTGCCACCCAAGAGCGGCCCCTTTTGAGACGCGTTCCTTTTGTGTCGTGAATAGCTTTGTGTAATGGGTGGTTAACATCTGCAGATACCCTCATGTAAGCCTTGACCTGTGCCACTTTGTATCTGCTTGTCATAGTCGGCAGACCCAGGATATAACGCATGGCGTTGCAGGAGGTGTCTTTTGTGCAGCCGAGTATGAGTCTCATGGCCTCACTCTGTACTCGGTCCAGTCTTTCTAGCTGGGTTTTGCTGACAGTGAGGAGGCCGAGACCATAGTCAATGACGCTAAGCACAAGCCCTTGATAGAGAAGGAAAAGTAGACGTTGAGGTCCCAGAAACCCCTTTCAGCCGTGAGGCCATATATTTAGCCAGGAGGAGAGGGGTGGGGGGGGGGGGGGTGGGTTGCGCCAAATAACGACAAAATTGCATCCCACATGGAGTCGCCGCTGGTATGAAGCGGGTCCTTTTATGTCTTGACCTATGTATTTAGTATGTCATAACATGAGCATATATGTCTGTAGTATGTCATAACATGGGCATATATGTCTGTAGTATGTCATAACATGAGCATATATGTCTGTAGTATGTCATAACATGGGCACATATGTCTGTAGTATGTCATAACATGGGCATATATGTCTGTAGTATGTCATAACATGGGCACATATGTCTGTAGTATGTCATAACATGGGCACATATGTCTGTAGTATGTCATAACATGAGCATATATGTCTGTAGTATGTCATAACATAAGCATATATGTCTGTAGTATGTCATAACATGGGCACATATGTCTGTAGTATGTCATAACATGGGCACATATGTCTGTAGTATGTCATAACATGGGCACATATGTCTGTAGTATGTCATAACATGGGCACATATATCTGTAGTATGTCATAACATGGGCACATATGTCTGTAGTATGTCATAACATGGGCATATATGTCTGTAGTATGTCATAACATGAGCATATATGTCTGTAGTATGTCATAACATGGGCATATATGTCTGTAGTATGTCATAACATGAGCATCTGTAGTATGTCATAACATGGGCACATATGTCTGTAGTGTGTCATAACATGGGCACATATGTCTGTAGTATGTCATAACATGGGCACATCATAACATGGGCACATATGTCTGTAGTATGTCATAACATGGGCACATATGTCTGTAGTATGTCATAACATGGGCACATATGTCTGTAGTATGTCATAACATGGGCATATATGTCTGTATCCTTGTCTGAAATAAATTTAACTAGCCTATCAATAATTTGGTCTGCGTTTGTGGCTTATTGCGTTGTAAACCCGCTTCGTAATTTCCGGAGTAATATGTTCGATCTCAGCTGTAGGTGATTTGGCAGCAGACAGTTTTGCGTGGATTCGACATTGGTATCGAGAGACGACAGTTTAGTAAGCAATGACACTACTAAATGTCAATTTTGTTCTTGGTGGAAAAATCCATAACAGCAACATATACTGGGGTTGGTTCTGGAACATCATGTAAAGACGCCTTAACTTGCCTGCAATTAATTAGACGTGCCTGTGTGTCAACTAGTCTGAAATTAATTAAACTCGCCTGTCAGTGGCCTTGTCTGACATTTCTTTCTATAACTTAGGCAAACATGATATGGAAGTTTCTTTTCTCCTTGCTCCAGCAAGAGCTCTCTAGTGATTAATTATTGTCATATATTCCAAGAGTAACTCGCTTTCATTACTAACTATTATCATATATTTCCCACAGTAACTTTCTCTAATGACTTTACTCAACATAATAACTTTATAATAACATACTATTGTCGTGTAATCATCACGGGAACTCTGTAATGACTAACTATTGTCAAATATCCGGCACGATACCTGTGATACCTTACTATTGTCACTGTTATGCATTATTATCGTGGGTAAATTTTCTCATTGATTGGAAATAGAGACAACTACTAAACATAAACTATTTGCAAGAATCCGGACGGATGGCATCGATTACTAATTTTAATGTATGTAAGCGATGCTAACTTTAGGCAAACGTGCAGTTTGGCTGAAGTGTGCCATATGAGAAGTGTGACCGAGATGTTACACAGACTATTTAAACTTGCAAAGAATAAAAAAAGCTCAGTTTTCGATCCTGGGAGAGTCCGGCCTCGTGGCGCTGAGAGAGTGTGAGCTGAGCACTTCTAGGGAGTGAATGTCTCCTGACCTTGTTTCCTGGTGGCGCGACATACTGCAATGGCGGAAGATCGTCTGCTGTACGTGCGAGTGTTTTTGAATGCAGCTATATGGCACCTGAAGTGCCAATGATTTTAAGTGCTTTAATTGAAAAACCTGGTCAGGTAATGAATGAACATTCTACTGTTGTTACATAGCTACTATCCAAGACACAAACCTCTGGACCATTAACCGAGGACATTCGTTGGAGCAATAAACAGAGTTTTCATCAGCATTCCAGTGTTTCTCAACTTTATTTTTGTGTATTTAAAGATTGCTGTGTTGTGGTATCTCTCAATGTGCCTGAGCAGGCTGCACGACAAGAGCCAAGAGAATCATTGCAGTAATTTATAAACCGCCGAGTGGGTAATGGTCTATAGAATATAGGTCTGGCCCTACATGTCCAGTGTAAATGAAAGCATGGAAATTGGTCCTTTACTCAACCTTACTTACTTATCGTCATGTATTCCAGATAGCAATTCTCTCAAAACTGACTGCTGTCATATATTCCACATAGTAACTTTATAATGACTAACCATTGTCAAGTATTCAGCACAGTAACTCACCAGTGACTAACTTGTGTGATGTACTGCACACAGTAACTCTTTATGACTAATTATTGTCATATATGTCATATATTATATACAGTAACTTTATAATAACTAATCATTGCCATTTATTCCACATAGTAACCTAATAGTGACTTACTATTGTCATATATTCCATTCAGTGACTCTCTCCTATGACAACACATTTGCAGACATCGGATCAACACAGACATACTACCGCGTGTGGGCCGACTACGGAGTTCAGCACATAGGTGAAATAACAAGTTGCACATCAGTCTCTGCCTGTGCTGTCAGAACAAAACAGATGTACCCACATTCCAAGAGTTTCATGTTTAATGCCTTTCTGAACACATGTCTCCCCGGCGGCCGCCTCGACAGAGCCACGACGACCGTCAAGGACGCTGAAGGACACCTGTACGTTGAGCTGAAGGCACCTCCCAACCTAAGTGTCATCTCCCAGAATGAAGCTACAGCTTGCATCGGAATCTTCCAGGAGCTACTCACATACAACGAGGCCGCCCAGAGATGCCAAGACATGGGCTACTTCCTGGCATCGGTAAAGAACTCGCCCAAACTGAACCTCATCGTCCAACTGGCGGGAGACAAGTCGCTGTGGGTTGGCTGTGATGATGCTGTCAAGGAAGGGAGGGTGGTGTGGAAGGAGGATGGATCTACAGTAAGCACCGACACATTAGCCACCGTTTTCATTGATAGTGAGGTGAACAATTTTGTCAACCAAGATTGTTGTGTCTACAGAAACGACTCGCACAAGCTTTCCGACTACGACTGCTCGGTCCTGTTGCCCTATGTTTGTGAAGTGACCCTGTACAACTGTGTACTAAACGTTTCCGGCCCATGATTTCAGACGACATTTTCTCAAACCCATTCAAAGTCACTTTATATTATAATAAATAAAAGGATGAAAGTAAAAACTTCGTTAACACTAATTCCAAAGGGGAAATATTCAATTACTGCATTTCACGTGTCAGTTCCCTATGTGGGTTAGGAGGTCGTATTGTGGGGAAAACAAGAATAGACTTACCACAACAAGCGTTTCGTAAGAATCGACTGAATTAGAGCTTCATCACAGTAGAGGGGCATTTGTCTGAGCGGCAAGAATCAATCTACTCCTCACAAATAAGCCAGTAAAAGCTACGTACACGCAAAACTCAGACCCTGGCACGAAGCCAAAGTTTCAATGGACGAACAACCAGGAATTTCCACCAGAGCATACAGAAGGAGAACAAAGAAGATAAGAAGTAGAAGTTTCAGAGATGCACACCCTGGATAGACTAGTATGTTATATCTCTTTTTCCATGCGTATCCTCACACAAGGGTGATCAACAAATTTCAAGTTTTTTTGGGGGATTGATTTCGACTTGCTGATTTCTAAAAAAAAAAAAAAAAAGAATGGAATTTACTAATTGGCTTTATTTTTTTTTTTTTTTGTTAAAGACGAATTAAGATTACAGTAATACAAATAAAAGATGTTTTTTGTTTTGAATCCATGGAGTAAACAGTTAGTCTTTTTATTTTAGCTTCATAAAAATTGTTGTTACATTTTCAATTAATAAATATTTGAACATAAAATTATAGAAGCAATAAATAAAACATATGAGCAGTTCACAAATAATGTTTAAAACAAAAATTGAGCCTTTCCAGTAATTGTTCAGGCGCTGTTCGAGCTCTCTTTGCTTGCTTCTTGCTATCAGCCAATGAGGTGTCTCTTGTCACAGCTAAGGAGTAAGCAGCAATTACTGAAAGGCTCCAAATGCCCTAATACCTTATATAGCAGCAATGTCCTGGTGAAATTGTTTACCATGCTCATCACTGACAGCTCCAAAGTTTGACGTAAAAAAATTAAAAAGAAAGTGAAGAAAATACATTTTCAGAGACAGCTTGCAGTGACTGACTGACTGAATTTCTACCCCACCAGGACATCACACAAGCGATAAACACCCGATGACACAAAGTGCCACCATGCGGATGAGGATCACCGTGGAGAGGTCCCAGAAACCGCGTTCAGACATTTGGCCATAATGATGACCTGCCTATATTGCGGCCCCTGGCAAAAGCCAGAGTGGGGCTTCAAATAACAAAAAATTACGTCCTAAGAAGGACGTCAAGACTCTCATATTTCAGGGGATTATCTACAATTTCATAGTAATTATAAGATCTGTTGTTTCTGAGAAAATTGTCCACAGTGGACTTAAATGGTAGCCACGCTTCGTTTTCCTTGCCATGCAACGCGCACAGTGTTGCCACATTGGATGTTTTACATCCAGATTTAGACTTTTTTACTTGCATATAGATAGCTTTTTTGACGTTTAGATGGTAGATGTATTTCTAGAAGTTTTATTTGGAGTGAATTTATCAAATCTAACCTATAAAACAGGATGAAATTTGACTTCTTAAAAGCTAATTTAACAATAAAGTTCGGCTTGATAAGAGTAGGAAAAGGCTGTGCCACTTATCAGTTCCCTGATTGGGTATTAAAAGACTCATTTAGGAACGAAAGCTATAACTTAATCATCCAAGCTAAGTTTATCCTGTGGGTCTTGTAAGGCAGACTTCAGTAAAGATGAGGATATGATTCTATAGGGTAAATCATATCAATTGCAAAGTAATTTTTGACTCTTTCCATTTTGATGTTTTTTTTTAAAGATGTTTTCCACGCACATTTAGATATTTTTAGATATTTTTGACTCCGTTTTGGATGTTTTTTGTCAAAGAAAAGTGGCAACACTGAACGCGCATCGAGAAGACGTTTTCGAATTTCGGAACCAACACATTTTAGCTTCACAGTCTTAAAAGTTTTCTGACGAGATATTTGAAAACATTATTTGTTTTCTCGGTGGCCTTGTCACACGTTTTCATGAGACCGAGTTTAATGTGCAAGAGTGGTTACAAAATCTTGCTGGTGTCGATAAGTGCTGGGTTTTCCACGTTCTTGCTGCCACGCTGCAATGGCCGCCTGATTAGCTAATGTCTTTTGATGTAAGTCATGTCGTACACGGCTATCCCATTCACAGAGAAAGCAGCAGTACTTTGTGTTTTCACCTTATAGCCCAGGGCTATTCAGCTGGCGACTCGAGAAGACCCAGCAAGTGGCCCGCCAACCATTGCCAGTTGTGCTGTATTTGTGATCTTTCTTTGCTGGAACTCAGGCTTCTGGCCTGTAACTATCACAGTTTTAAAACTTTTGGCCCCTGAGTAAACTTAGTTGAAAATCCCTGCCGTGGAACTACCACTTACTACTGCACAGTGACCATTGATGATGATCGCCGTTTATACATTTCAAAAGCTGCTTGATGTTTTCACACGTTTCTGTCATGTGAACTGCTTGACCAATTGGAATAGATGGGAATACATTAGCAGTATTCAACAAAACAGCTTTAAGACTCCTCTTGGATAAATCAATAAAAAGCCTCAACTCTTCCGGCATGTAACTGATTTTTAGGGCTGCCATTAGCTCAGAAATGTTGTGGTTTTCAGAAAGGCAACCTGCTTTAAAAAAATATTAAGCAGCTTCTGCCGTTTCCTATACACATACATTCTAACGTCTTCTGCCAAAAAATTCCACTGTTGCAACCTAGAACCAAAAGGCTCTGCATTGTTCTTCGGTAAATTCAAATCTCTTAAAAGATCATTCCGTTTACTTTAGATTATTAAGTGTGGTTTAGTCGATGTGGTTTGCTCAAAATATAGGTCACTTGAGGTTGATAGTTCAAGGCCACCAATGTCTTCACCTTCATCAGCGGAAGCAGTTGAGAATAATTCTTGCACTTTGGGTACTGATAGGTCATCGCCATGTATTACCGGGCGTACTGCAGAGGGGATGTTAGGGTACTCCAGAGTCCAATTTCTTCTTCTTTGATATGCTTTTCCCCAGCTGGAAGGATCATGTAAAAGTAACAGTTCTTGAGATGATCGGTAGGCTCTCTCCAAATCATCGGGTCTGCAAAAGACGTGGCTCGCCTTTTGCCAGTCAACCACAGTTTAGGATTTGCTGTACATGAATTGCATCATATGGGGCCCAGCTCTTATCTTGATCTCCTATTCTGCAGCCAAAATACAAACTGTATGCCTTTTTAAACACTTTAGTTATATTTAGTTTTTGTGCGAGAAATGTCACCTCACCACATACACAACAAAGGTATATCGGCGCTGTTCACAAACGCCATAGGCATTTCTAGCTAAGACAGTATTAAAAAAGATAAAGACCTAGCTAATAATGGGCAACATTATGTCAGAGATAAAATATTTATACCTAAAAGAGATGTAATCATAGGTAAGAATGCAACTTCAAATTCTGGTTACAGTTTTATTGGTCTTTAGAAAAAAAAGATATGCAACAGATCACAACACTTGCGCCATTTATATAATGTTGTCCTAATTAAGTAAACTAGAAGCGTATATCTTTAAAACTAGGGCCTATGAACACTTTAATTTCTGATGCATTCTTGTTGTTGACTAGTGTAGCAGGCTGCTTTCCTTTAACGTTGTAGAGAAAAGCAAATCTCCCCCTTTATTAAAAGGATTGTTTATCGCATGCTCCATTCGAACACTTCGCTGTACTGTTTGCTGCAAATCATAGTTTTATTCTGAAAAATAACATCTTTTGAGCATGGTGATGTTATTCAGTTTGTTTAATTCACATTAAAATTTGTAGTTTGCGCAAGTGTTTTGCCTGAGTGTTGCCCATGTAGGGTTATGTAGTGTAGTTGTTGTTATCAATCTGATTATGTCTATCCACTCTATATTTCCCAGCTATATTTCACGGATAAAGACATACATTTTTGTTAATGAGAAAAGATTGCAAATTATGGAGATTTTTAAATATCTTGTTGCGACACAGTGAAAGAAATTAAAAAACGACTATGAGTTTCTTTTCGAAGACTAAAACAACTGAATAAATGAGTGAATGGGACAGACAGAACTACAAAAAAAAAAAAAAAAAAAAAATTAAATTTCTAAGAGCTAGCACAACAATTTAGTGGTTACATAACTTTCAATACCTGCTCTTTTATGTCTTTCGCAAAAATATCTATCACAATGATGCTACCAAAAAAAAAAAAAAATTTTTTTTAAATCACAATACACTGTCAGTACTCAGAGACCTAGATTCATAGACACGCAGAACATCTTACAGTATAAATACTTGGACTCAGTGACACACAGAACATCAGAGGCACAAATAATATCGGACAGTACAAGTTTTGAATTCAATAAAACAGAACATCAGACAGCACAAGTACTTGGACTCAAAGGCACATTACACCTGACAGTACAAGTAATTTAGCGCAGCAACGCTTAGAAAATATGGCATTATCAAAGTTGGACTCAGTGACACATAGAGCGTCTGACAGTACGAGAACTTTAGCGTAGGAATACAGAAAACATTCAAAAACGCAAGGACTTCTGTTTAACGATATATACAAGATGGGACATGGCAAGTACTAGCTCAGTAAAACATAGACAATATCGGACAGTGCAAGTACTTTTGTGCACTGACACAGCAACTAGGACAATGCAAGCTCAGGTAGACAGAAAATGTGTCATTATAAGCAGCACAGTTCAGTAACACATAGAACAACAAAGAGTGAAACTAATTTAACTTAGGGACAGACTAAGAAACTTTATGTTGTCTGTGTGTGTGTGTATGTTTGCATGCGTGCCTGTGTGTATTTGTGTCTGTGTATATCTGTGTGTGTGTGTCTAGATTACAAGTCAGAACACCACGTCCTTTCGAAATTCACAACGAAACACTCAAAGACTATATTATCATCATGGCAGTAACACTTGCAGACTGAAAAGTTCCCTAACCAAATGTTAGAAGTAGACGTCGATCCACGAAGA